TAATCCCCTTCTGCCTTGACGCGTGTGTCCGCATGTCGGACAAAAGTTCAACTCCTGCCTGTGCGCAGGCAGACTCCTCGGCGGATTCTCTGCCGGCGCGGAACTTCATCCTCCTGTGCACAGGCGCTCGCCTGTGCGCAGGCGAATTCCGTGCGCGGCGTCGCGCTGGCGCGGAAGGCGTTGACCGTGGTCAGCCGTCTCCGTCCAGTCTGTCCGTTCCTTGTCTCTTCGTCGGCGCTTCCGCCGCCGCAACTCCGTCCGTCCAAGAGCGCATCCACCCGTCCCGTCCGCATGGTCCGTACGGATTTGATTACTCTGGCGGCTCCTTGCTCGTCCGCGGCGCCGCGCTGGGGCAGAAGGCGCCGTACACTTTCTACCTCACAAGGCGCATTCCTAGGGCCCAAGGCGGATTTTCCGCCGACGCCGAAGCGCCTGTGCACAGGCGAACGCCTGTGCGTAGGCGGACTTCGCGCCTCCCCAAACCCTACTTCGCCTGTGCACAGGCGAACTTCCTTCGTCCGCGCATAGGACAAAACTTGATTCCCCCTTCCGCGTAGGCGGAATTCCCGCCGGTGGCGAACCCCTTCTGCCGAAGGCGACCGTCTCCGTATCTTCCAATAATGATAACTCCCTAAGTCCTCATCCGTTTCAAGCGTTCTTGGACTCGTTGGAATCAGTGCGTCGAGCTCTTTCCAACGAGACCCTAACTCGGTCAAGGCGCCCGAGGGTTGACCTAATTATGAAGGATTTCCCTACCGCCGCGGACGCAACCTCCGAAGGCGGGTTTTGCGCCTTGCGTCGTAGGGATCCTAACTGCAGAGCTCGCAGGGAGGGTGGTGCCTGTCCTTACTGCTGCACCCCAAATCCTAGATTCTACAAGATCCCTCGAGAATCCCCGCGATCTTCCGGATTCACTCCGTTTTGATGTACCGAAGGCTATTTACAATGCTGCCAGGGTACAGTTTTCCAAAAAATGTTTTAATTTCCTCAAAATTGCCAAAAGTGGGGTACCACACGTTTTGCCTTGGGGATTTTTCCAGTTTTGGAAGTGCAGTTCAAGAACTCATTTTCTCTGCGTGTTTGTGTCTTAGTTTTGTCATCGCGCAAGAGGAGCTACAGCTTGACGAAGTTACCGCATTTTGTAGCTAAAGGCCTTCGCCGGAATGCTCAGAGCTAGTGTGGACTGGTTAGATACTTGAGCAGTTCGGACTTACACCTTTGGGTGATTGTTGAATGCTCAGAGCTAGTGTAGACTGGTTAGATACTTGAGCAGTTCGGACTTACATCTTTGGGTGATTGTTCCTGTTTGTACTCCTTCGGGATTTTTCCCCCTGAATGTCAAAGTAAAGTTTTGTTACTTCGAGTAAACCTTGGTTAACAATTCAGGTTGTACGCTGCTTGAGGCGCCTTTGGGGGTAGCCTCCATAGTATTTCTGGGAATGACTAGTGCCTTAGAATTCAAACTCGTCAATAGACTGTTATGGTGTGACACTGGATCTTCTCTCAGCTGAGTTTCTCAGTTCGGTTCCTGTATTCTCTGCGCGTTTTGTGAGTCGAGTGTGTTGTTCGCCGCGTGTGAGTGACTTCGGTTTGACGAAGGTACCGCATCCGAAGTAGGAAGTCCAACCAGGGTGCTCTGCTCTAGCAGTCAGAGTTAACAATCCGGAGTTGGGGAACACTACCTGCAGACCCTCTGAATGTACTCTTGAGAAACTTCCCCCCTGAACCTTGAGTGGAGGTCCTAATCGGCCTCTTAGTTGTGCTTTTCCAGTTTCAGGTGTGTGTTGAGGTGAACTACGCTGCACATTGCGTCCTCCGAGTGACCTCCGAGTTGAGCACTTGCAGTATTTTTGGGAGTGACAGTCGCATGAGAATTCAAACTCTTCAATAGTCTGTTAAAACGTGACATTTAGTACTCTGTGTGTTGATCTGTCCCTGTGGGTTCGAACTTTTTGCTGCTATACTGTAGTTTTAGCCTTTGGTGGGTTATTACAACAAATCTAACAATTATTGGACCAATATTTAAAGTGCTCCATCAACTATCATCAAGACAATTTAGTGGATCTATTTCCACTAGTTGAATTTTGATCAATCAATGAAGAATTCATCCACCAAATTTAGTTCTCTGAAAATTATATATATCATCCACAATTTGATTCTTTGAACTTAAGTTTGGCAAAAAATCCGGCTGTCCAAAATATTGTCATCAGACTTTTGAAAGTGCACAAAGATATCAACGCAAGGCTTGTAGAAGCTTAAGACCAACAGAAAAGAAATACATACAAATCTTCAAAGCAAAAATTGAACATCTTCGTTGAAGATAAAATCTGGCTTTTGAATCACAATTTAAAACTTGCCAATCTAGCAACAAACTTGACTATTATTGTATTTAATCTTTTTGCGAGACTAAACTGGTCAACGAAGTAACATACAGGTTGAACCTGCCATAAATAAAAAATTCATCTATCATTCTTATATAAAATTTTATCTAGTGTTTCATTTTTTCTTGCTTGAACAATACAAAATATTTGACTATTTCGGGATAGGCGTCAGCACTTCCGCCATAAATCAAGATTAACGAAGAAGAAAAAAATGGAATTCTATAAGATCATTGATTTTTGCATTAATCAAATGAGATTAGAATATCTTGTATATTAGCAAGGCTTTGAAGTAAGCAAGCAAAGTTGAAATCCTACTACTAATCTGGCTAACGCTTCCAAAATGATTAAAAAAATTTTCAAAACCAAGTGCCAAAGATATATGAATTCAACACGTTTGCACTAACACGAGATCCGAATTAGGTTGTAACCATGTGAGTATTACATGCACTACTTGTTGTTGATATTTTATTTTTTAAAAATAAGATAAATAGAATAATTTATGGAAGCTCGCTTCTTGAAGGAAGTATGATGTCACGGATGTGACAAAAGCAATGTTAGGTTACAGACAATAGCCAACTTTTTTCAGCTTTGCAGAGAGTACCAACTTTTCAACTTAATAAGGTTTTTAGTAGCGTATTAGCAATACAAGGAAAAAATCTTGGAACTTGTACTAAGACTCTCTCTAGTCAACATTAGTTGTACCTACTTTTCCAGTATCAATACGATTTCCAGTTTTCTCATTTCTAGTGTTACTGCTTCCAGTTTTGAAGCTTCAGGTAGTATTTTTAGACTTGTGTGATTTGCAGCAGTATCTTGGAGAATAAATTTAAGAATTTTTTCCAGATCATGAATGAATGATTTATTATGTGTTTTCGACCCTCTGATTCCAAATTTTTGATTCACTTACCATTTATAATGTTGGAGCCCACATGAAGAAGGGCAGAGAACCCCAAACTCTACTTTGGATCAGAGATCATTCTCCTAAGCTGACATGCCTTGTTACTTCTCTCGTAAATTTTGCAAGATTTTCAACTAGTAATAGTGTTAAATGTTGTCTCTATGATTTTAATATCTGAAAAACGACATGTTCAATGTCGTCAATGCTCCAAACTATATCACTAAAAAAATTTCAGATCTTGAACTTTTTCAAAATATATGAATAGAAATATGCATTCTTTTCATTTATGTCTTTAAGAATGTAATCCAGAAGTTGAACAGAATGAAATATTCTTCATGTACAATGTTCAATGATTTTAAATGTTTATCACAATCATGACATGAGTTTTAAAGTGGTCTTCATTTCTTCCTATCTTGTGAATTTAGTGTTCATTTTTAGCTAAATATGTATTATACTGCTCACATCTTCTAGGAAGAGCATCCACCCTAGTGACACACTCATAACAGTATTTAGATATTTTTTTTTCTAAATGCATTGAATTAATGTCAAAAACCTAAAGTGAAGTCACAACCAGAGAAGCAAAATCAGTGATTCAAGAGTCACTTGATTTAAATTTCATCAATAATTTTCATTCCTGAATTGGATGTTTCAAGGCATAGAGGATAAAAGTTTCAGCAACTTTGCCACTTCTCGAATGTTTCTTGTCATGAAATTAATGTTTTGATTTAAAAGACGGATGTTTTTTTAACATTGTTATTTCAAATGATACAAATTAGTTCAAAACGTGATACAAATTTCACTTGTGGGAGTTTTCTCCTTGTGGGAGTTTTCTCAATTGTTCAACAGAAACTTCTTTTCTCGAGCCATCTTTGGACGTGTTTTTCAGAATTCGTGTTGAATTCTACATAGATTGTTCTTTACCATTATCATGTCTATCTTGCAAGTGTATTATAATGTTTGATCTTGGGAAAATATAAAGTGTTTGATAATCTAAAAACTTAAGAAACTTTTTTAATACTCTTGTCCAAGATTGTGCTTTAACAAGAGTTTTTACAATGAAAGAAGTTTTTTTCTTTCTTTAATATTGTAGCTTCCAACAAGGTTATTCAATAATGATATTGATAGCTCCTTACGAAATTATGTTCACCCAAATGATATGCCTATATTCAAACCACACTATCAACTTTGTGGTTGTGTACCATGCATAGGTTTTGAATGTTTGCAATCTTAGATGCTATGCAAAAATTTATGAAAATGAAATATATGAATGATATTACGCTGGACCTTCAGATCTCCAGCATCATGTGGCTTTTGATCCAACAGAAATCTATATCTTTCCTGGAAAGAAAATTTGCGTAATAATTTGAGATTACGTAATAAAACAAAGTTTCCCTTTGCTTTGTAGAAATAAAACCGAGGTGGATGTGCTTGTTGAAGATGGATAGAGTGGATTTTTCACCCTAGAATCTGTGCGAAAACAATAATGATATTCAGCATGGATGTATTTATATGAAGTAGAATATTGAGAGCCAGTTTCACTTAACAAGCAACGAAGGGGCCGACCCAGCCTATGAAGTTGTACTCACTCCATCGCGCATGGCAGTCACAATGACATTATTACAATAATCCTCAGAAACTGTCCCAGAACCAGCTGTCCATATCTCTGCACAGGATGCGAAGCATACATTCTCTGATCCCTCGTCGAGCTCAGGCCATGAACAGCGAGCCATGTGGTGAGCGGAAAAGGATTCCATCTGGATGCCGTGAGGATTTATATACCAAGCAATTGCTCTCTGCCAAACGGAAGAACGAACGAGCCAAGGAGAAGGTATTGACCTCATCATCCTCGTCCAATGAACTCGACGGGAATTGGATCGGAGTTGTAAGAAGACCGTGGAGGCAGGCAGAGTCAATAGAGACATGTGGCAGATCGACTCCACAGTGAAACAATACGGACCAGCGATCGTAAGGAATCTGCAAGGGTTTACGATCTCGATAGAGTGTGAAACAGATTGCACGACGCTCCGCGTTTGTGGGTTACACGATTCTTGTAACTACTATGAAGATTTATACTTGTCGAGCTCGGTTTCTCATTTCGAGTTTTGGAAGCTGATAACTGGCAGTTGCAACTGTTCTTGAGCTTATGTCCCATGACCCATTGAACGCGCACAGTGTCCATGGGATCAAATCGGTGTTCCGGGGACAGCTATGTCAGAAACTGTGCCAGTCATAAAAAGCTCGTGGTATTATATACTTTATAGTAAAGTACTATTGTGAACGCTTCTGTTGCCGGAGCTCATTTCGTCTTCTTCCAGTCCGTCCTTCATTTGCTCGACATGTTCAGCACTACTGCTGGACCATCACTGTTCGAGGCACTCTGCATGTGCAGCAGGAATCCAGATGGGAATCCAGGAGCATAAACTGTCGTTTCCGTGTGCGATGAATGGGCGACTCACGCCTCTGGTTCCAGCCCTTATATATTGATTCGGTCGATGACGGATAGGGAATTTCAGCAACTCTCTCGCCCATTTCATTCATGTGACAGGCTTTCGGAGTCAAGTGTCATTCCAGTGCTGGAGTGAGGGGATAGTCACTGGTCAGCCGGTCCCATGTACTTTCATCTAGCTTGTGGTCTGGGGTCCATCCTTTTTTTAGGAATAGGCATGTGGTTGCTCTTTGAAATCCTCAGCGATTGGTTCACAAATCCAAGCTCAGCTCCCCAACATGGCCATGGATTTGTTCATCTGCAGCATACACCCTCGATTTCTAGCTGTGCGTACATTCCGTTGGCTGGAACTTCTCTGCATCCACAGCGTCATCATCAAGGCCACACCACATTGTCCGTAGAGTAAAATCGTCGATCACTGACAGAATCCTTGGCCACAATTGACCATCGGTGGTGGATCGATCGGATCTCGAGATGGCGAGCGTGCCGAAAGTCCAGATGAATCTGTGGATGCTACTAGGCAGTTTACAGGAGCAGCAAGGATCCACCGAGTCGCGCAGCAGCAATTCCAGATCGATGAATAGCTCGTTGTGGAGCCGTCTTCCGAAAGAAGTGCTCGAGAAGGTGCTGATGCAGCTGCCTCCTGTGACCCAGTTCCGACTTCGTGCCGTGTCCAAGGAATGGCGCGCTCGGCTCTCGAGCGTGGAGTTCCTTCGGCTCAGCGCTTCGTCCAGTGCTCCGAGCTCAGCACCTCCGATGTTATGCGGACTGGACCACCGCATCCTGCTGGGAAATGAGACCAGCGACACCCTCGCAGACATAAACGTCGAGGACGCAGCCAGATGTACGATCTGGAAGAATCACGAGCTGGACTTATCGTTCCTGCCCGCAGAGCTCTACGACAGCCCCTGGGATCTGGATCACTACTTGTGCGCCGATGGCCTGTGGTACTACAATTACAGGAAGTCGAACGAGGTCGGCACGTGCGTGCTGAACCCCATGACGAGAACTTGGCGCATTCTGCCCAAACTCCTGCTGGAGAATCTGTGGATCGCGGCCGAAGATACTCACCTTAAACTCGAAGTCGTCAACAAGTGCAACGAGAATTTGCAGCTCGAATTCACCGTCCGCTATGCATTCTACGACACCGGCACGGGCAGACTGCTGGTCTTCGTGTACTCGTCGCTCTCGGATGACTGGAAGTGCATCCCCATGGTCGACACGATTCCCACGTCCAAAGCCACCATCTGGGTGGCCTTGTACTTCTGCTGCGGCATGCTGTACCTGTTCCACGATCGGGGCCAGTTCGTGACGACGCACAGTCTCGAGGACGGCAAGCTTCTGAGGACCGGCAGCCTGGAATTCCCCTGGCCCTCGATCGTGTCCCCGGACAAGTGGGGGACCGATGCGTTGGAGCTCGAGCTGAGCGTGTTGGAGCTCGACGATCGAGAAATCTTCGGCGTGACCTCGTTCCATGAAGAAGTGCAGACCCAGATCTGGAAGCTCGATCACAGCACGCTGGCGTGGGAGCGGTTCTCGACCATGCCCAAAGGGCTGCACGAGTCCTTGGTCGAGTCTGCGGGCAAGGTGAACGGCAGGTTCCCCGACCTGTCTCAGCTCAACGACGCAGTCGGCGAATTCATCACCCTCAGATTTTGTTTTGAGTACCCGGAGAGCAGCAGCACGAATTGCGTCTGTCACACCAACAACTGTAACAACAATCACGACGAGAACTCCGAAGCCAGGACGTCGTCCACGACGGCCTCGCATCCGATCGACTGCGCGCTGTTCTCGGATCTTCGACACTCGTGCCATCGAATCGCCTGTCATGTTCCGACGGGCCGTTGGCATGTTGTATACGAGAACGTAGGTCAATGCGAGGCTTTCTTAGATGACACCTTCTTACCCTTTGTGCCCAGATTAGACTTGTTCCTCTGAAACTCATTTCTTCAGCAGTGTGTTCATAGTAAATTATACGGAGGCTGTGACTGACATCCACACGATGCTTTGAAAACCATACGAGCCGTGACAAGCGGAAATCACAAGCTCTGTCCGAGGTCTGTGCCAGAGAACTGAACTGATGCCAGTCAACACTCCTGCAGCATTTTCGGTACGAAATTGTAACAGGCTTACAGCAAACTTCACTTGTAGGTTGTGGATGGATCGACCATAACTTCAAGCACGACGGTAGTTGACATGAAGTTGCGACTGCCTAACACATGTTTCAATTCTGGCATTTGAACTCTATCAGTGCGGCGTTTGCTTCCACACGAATGAAGCACGACTATTGCAAATGTCTTCAATGGTGCAAGCAATTGTTGTATATTATGTTTAATGCCCGTGGGTTTTGTAAATCTCGAAGGAAGGACTGGGAAAACAACCACACACGATGTACAGTAAGACCTCCTTGTTGTCACGTAGTTGGTGACACAAGTCATATGATCACATACAAGGTCAAGCAACAAACATATGGAAATCTTCGATGATCTCTAATATCGATAATTCCCCCAACATAAAATATATTTCCAATTCGCGTCACTCAATTCTAATTTGTTACATGTGTAATACTGAAACATAGGAGCATTGTGAGATCCGAGTTGATTATTCTACGGAGAGTCCACTGTATCTTTTTCATGATAAGACAACTAAGTTAGCAAGGGTAAGCAATGCCCATGAGAGCCCAAGTAAGTAGGCTGAAAAATGCCATAAAACAACGAAAAATAATAACAAACTAATTTGGTGACTCATTTCTGCACATTCTCTCACATGTTAAGATTTTTCCTCACATGACCTGTGTGAACTCAATATGTCTTGACGCTGTTGAGTTAAATTCAGTCAAACTAAACTGGTCACAATCACAATCATGGGAGTGCATTTCAATGCCATATTACATATTGATATATCCTTTCGTCAGGCAGATCAGATTTCACAAAGATACAATATCTTGTAGTAGATGGCAACGCTATCCAGGTCCCAAATACTTGGAACGCCTTAACACTTTTTGTAGAATACTGTGATGCTTGAATTGTTACATCTCAAAATAAATACATATAATCCGACGTGAATAGTTTCCAGAGTATAGAACGTTCGACCCGATAAAATTGGACACTTGTTATGTTTGTTTTATATCAAAATTTCAATTTCTCCTTATTTGTGCACTTAGTAATCCATCTCATCCAGTCATTTAAGAAGTTAGAGTTCAGGATTGAACTCTAACTTCTCCAGGATACCAAAAATAATGAGACTACAGTCCTTCAGCTCTATTTCTAACCCAGCTCTATTCTAAGCGAGTCGTATTTTAACCACTATGGAGACACTTCACAGATCCTAACGGTTTAATCATTCCTAACTGAAGAAGTCCGCCACACCTTAGCTCGGCTCATGATCTGACTGCCTTAGAGGTACTGACGGTGATGTCGGAGGAGAAGCTCCTTTGAACAAGAAAGCTAGAAAGGTAGAAAAGAAGCAGTACAAGCCAGTTGCTCCCACCACATTAGACACTGAGAACCAATCGGAGGCGTCTCAGTTTGAACAAGTGGGTGATCGAGGCTTACAGGAGGATGAGAATGTGAACTTTCTAGATGCTCTTCCACCAAGAATCATCGGAAAGCCGTTGAAAGAGGCGGAACTCAACATTCTTCTTACACTTGGAGGAAGAGCAAACCAGGTTCAGGTGTCGACGCTACTCTGGAAGGAGGCTAATGTTCTGACTTAAGAATGGACGGGATTGCCCTCTCGTCCATTCTTAAGTCATCTTTTCTTGTGACACTTAACGTGCTATGCTTTATGCTGCTCATACATCCGGGTTCCTTTTTAATGAAATTATACTATAATAAACACTCTTGATAGTTATTATTTCAATATTAGGATATTAATAAAATAAATTATGATATGCTTTCTTCAATATGATTCTTCTTTATGTTTTAAAACCTAAATATAAGACGATAATTTTGTTAAATATAGTTTTGAATCTTTATCTAGACTTTCATGTTTCTGTAAACTAGTGTTAAGAGCTCTTATACTTAAATCTACTGAAATAATCTAACAAACTGTGAAGTGTCAATGATGATAAAATCTCATAGTCATCCCCGTAGCATTACATCAACAATATAGAGAGAAGAATGTAATGAAATTTTCTTCCAATATTATAACAAAAATTTCTTACCACATTTTTTTAATTGTATAAATAAATATATTTGTCATGATTAAATATGAAATTTTTATAGATTAAATCTGAATTGAAAAAACTGTAAAATTTTCTATATAGGCTAAATTCTTAGTGCTTCTCCGAAACAACTTAATCTCTATTCAAGTTATGCCTTCACTTTATATCTAGTTTGTAAAAAACATCTCTCCTAAAAATGATTATCAAGTCGAAGGTTAAAAACTGATTTTGAAATAAAGACCTGTAGCCACCAAAACAAATATTGTAACGTTCCATATAAGGATTATTAAAAATCAGAGCGTGGACATTATTCGTGGAATACAAGCATATGGGCGTCTGTTTTTAGGCTACGAAGTGTTTGCTGGGGGAAATTATACTCATGCTATATATACTCGAATTTGTGCTGAATCCAAGGGTGAAAAAGCATGTGGAGCGACAAGGCTTCAAACAAAAATATGTCGTACAAAAGTGAGAAGTATAGTTAACAAGGAATAAGAATAATAAAAAAACATTGGACTATTTGAATATAATGGCTTATTTTGAGCCAAAAATGCACAATTAATTCATTTTTATGAAGAAATTCATGCAATCACCTTAAATGTCGGATAATGCAATATTCTTTTCTATTCCAAGTATTATATAGTATTTATTTCTTAATATAATTTTTCAATAATGCCATCAAATCTGAAAAATAAAATCAAATTCTTGCAGGCAAGAAAACTTTAAGATTCTATGTTTAGGAACGTAACATGAGATTAGAAAACATGGAATAAAAAAAGTAACATGGATGGAATTTGCAATAGCATCAGCATTTGTTGTCATAATTACGGTAATTCAAACTTTCTACTAACAATATCCAAAACGCCAAAGCTACCCGCTTGGCATTTGGGAACTAGATTTTGCGAGGAAAGCTCGAAGAGTGGAAGAACAGAAGCTAACCAGAGCATGCCCATCCTCTGTGCTGTGGAATTGGGCCCACGCTCTTGCTGAAAGTATGTGTGGATCTTCGAGTTCTATCTGGCTGGGCCCACCGGTGACCGGAGGCACCGGACCTCAAAGCCACACGCTGGATCCAACAGTGAACAACATGAACGTCGTCGGTCTCCTACCACACGCTTGACCGGTTGACCGGTTGACGCAAAGCATCAGCTGCACCGCGAGCGCAGGCTGTTTCAGCACAATTTCGTTTCCTTCTCGTCTGCGGATTTGGTGTCTCGGGCTTGGCTCGAAGCCATAGCCCAGAATGGCCAGAGTGCCTGGAGCTGCCGCGATGCGCGAGACCCCGCTGCATGCGAGCGTGCTCGGTTCGAGTTTCAATGCCAAGCTCGTGGCACCCAATTCGAGCTCCGGCGTTGTTTACGGGAGAAATGGATTTTTCGATTGCAATTTAAGTGCTGCGTCTGCGGAGTGCGAGTTTTTCTGCAGAGCGTCTTCCGCAGGGGAGCTGTGCTCTCCATCCTCGCGTGTGTCCATCTTGAACTCGACGGTACGACGAGGAAGTAGGGCTTCTGGGCGAGTGTTGGCCTCTGCCGTGGAGGAAACTGGCAAGAGCAAATCCGGAGGCCGATTCTACTTCAATGTCACTGGATTTCCATTTCCCCTGGGACCGTTTCTTAGCCGACGGACCATTCGGACAGAAGTAAGCTCGTCCACTTTTGTTCTCAATTTTCTGTCTCCTCTTAACTCCCTGCTCACATGCGCGCGATTTTGCCGATGTCATTTAAGGCGGTGGAGCTGGTCAAATCTCTGCATCTTGTGGGAAGGGTATTTTCTCGACATGATTTACTTTCACCTTTTTTGATTAGCTCTCGTCTCAGTCTTGGTTTAGAGCATGAATGTGCCCGTGAATCAAGCTTTCAGCTTTGAAACCATGCCGTCCAAAGCAAAGGACGTAAAGAGCCGAAACATCGTGCAGATCCCACAGCCCCGAACCAGTTGCAACTGTCGGTTCTGGTAGCAGCTACTTGAGTCGTGAGTCGAGTGCTACCAAAGCTTAGCGGGTGAACTGGGATGTCTTTTCTAGCCTGCAGATGTGATCAGTTCTTGCCAAGAGATATGACATTTTGGGTCAGATGGACGTTTCAACATGCTGCACGCTCCACTCCTAACTGGCTTGCTGACTTGACAGATGCAGAGAGGAAGCATCTGGTTGTTCGAGCAAGAACAAGCACTCGGGTTTAGTAGTGTTACAACGAACACTCGCATGACGGTCATAAAACTCAAGTCCGGGGGTTTATGGGTGCATGCACCAATCGGTCCGACGGATGAGTGCATCCAGGTACCTTTCCAAATGTTCCGTGTGTAGGATTCTCAGAATTCCAAAGTATTGTAGTTAAGAGTACATTTTAAGCTTAAAACGAAGTTGGACGTGGGACGATTCGTATGAAGCAGTCTGCTTGAATATCCTCTGTGGATTTATATATTTGATTACTACCGGAGAGCCGATGAGTTAGCTTTTTCAAGGGAATTAAAGCTTTCGGTGACTTTGGTGGTGTGTGGAGGGTGACAGCTTCTGAAGGAGTTGGAGCTCCCAATCGAGTACATTGTTCTACCTACATTTGCTTATGAGCACAAGATCTTCGTCGGACCTTTTTCTAGAGCCTTTCCCAAGGCCCAGGTGTGGGTGGCACCAAGGCAGTGGAGCTGGCCTTTGAATCTACCGCTCCCCTTTCTGGGAATCTTTGGAGCCAAAGTCCTGAAGGACGATGAACTCGTCACTCCGTGGGCGGATGAAATCGAGCATAAAATCCTAAGCTGTCCTGAAGTCGGTAAGTTCTCTTGCTGCGTCCTAGATGCTCTCTTCAGTCATACTTTGCAGTCTGCGAAGGGTTGCTTATCACTGAGCAAATTCAGTCGTCACACGTACATTGATGTTTGTCAACCAACAGTTCAAGTTTTGCTTCAGCCAGTGAAGCTAGTCTGACCTTGCTTTGCTGGCATCGTTCCTGCAGGAATTGGACCCTATGTGGAAGTGGCTTTTTACCACAAGGCATCGCGAAGCCTACTTGTAACAGATGCTGTTATCTTTGTACCAGACAAACCACCATCCGTAGTTAGCAAGGAAGCCCTTCTAGACGCAGCAAGGAACGGACTCGCAGTGAAAGTTTTGAGCGCTGGAAAAGAGGTACCTGATGATCCAATTGTCGACAACGAGGAGAATCGTCAGAGAGGCAAGTGCTTCTTCAAACTCTCCGCTGCTGGCTGGTCCCGTATATTCGTCATTGTCAGCAAGTTCGAGACTCAACCCACTCGAGGCTAACTCAGCTTTCATCTGTCAAGTCACTTCACTCTGTCACATGACTCACTCAGGGGTAAGTTTGTTTCCGTTCGTGCAGGTTGGGAGAGGATGGTCCTGCAGATTCTGTTCTTGGGCCCGTCAAATCTGCTGGAGCCCACACAAAGTTTCAGGCAGATGTCTAAGAAGCTCATTGTTTCTCCCATAGTTAAGACACTCGTGTACAATAAAGTTCCAGATAAGGTATTGTAGAAATTCTCCACAGACTACATCAGTCTAACTACCTGCAATCTGGAGTCTAGCTTTACCGTGTGACCTTCGTTAGGCAGTGGAATGTGAAAGCATGCTCGTTTTGATAATTGATGGTAACGCTGTAAGTTATCGATTGCTCTGAACATGAAAGTGAGGAACTCGCACAATCTGGAAGCCGAGTCGTGTGAAACTCTTCTGTTCATCGACTTACATTTGCAGCTGGCTGACTTTGTGGCTCTTCATTTCGCAGGTTAAGATTTGGGTAGACAGCATTGCAAGGGACTGGAAATTCAAGCAAATCATACCATGCCACTTTTCGGGTCCAGTAGCTGCGGATGCACGAGTATTCAAAGCAGCTTTTGCTTTCCTCAGTGACCTTGTAGAAGAGAAATCAGGAAGTTCCGAGTCTCCGTTGTCCTCACTAGTTGGATTCTTTGGTAGAGCTGCAGCTGCTGTGACATACCCCACGGCCGATATGAAAACCCTGTCATCTCTAGATAATTTCCTTGTGTCAACAGGGGCTGTTAAAAAAACTGTTTCAGGTAAGAAAAAGAAGTGAATGTATGTTGCAACCGAGGAGGTTGAAATCAATCTGCTCGTAGATGCCCACAACGAACGATGTATACAAGAATCAATTACAGGCCTGTAATACACCATCATTGCCACTGGTTGCTGTCAGAATTCTGTATGATAGAATTCGGCGCACTAGTAATCTCAGAAAGTACATAATTTGTATATTGGTCCGGCCCAAGTAAGGGGGAGTGTGTCGCAGAGAAACGAAATGAGTATGTGCGATAATTTATTCTGGTGTAAATGTACGTTTTCTTGGTAAATGAAGAAAAATAATAGTGAATTTTGTATGTTCAATTTTGCATGCAGTGAAAAGTCACAGTAAAATTTTTTCATAGTACTTTGTCAAACAGTTAGTTGGTTAATGCAATTATAACTTGAAAAAAAAAACATAATTATAGTTGTTCTTTCCTCCATGTATACTTTTTGCCACGTTGAAATGAACATGGTATTATATCAACTATTATAGCATATTTTGTGATATTAATTCCTTATTCATCTCTCCTCAGTTTCTCTTATCTAATATATTGATAAGATATTTGATCTCTTACTAATTATACCTCGTCGAAGATCATTTACATAAATCATCAATTCATATTCGACCTTTCTTCATCATTTCCTTGTGGCTGGACAGAGAGTAGCAGGCAGAAGGTAGTAGCCGAAAAGTAATCTCGGACGTCACGTCTCGGATTACTAGCCACTGGTCAGTGTCTTAAGCTGAAAACTTGAAGTATATCATCTTCTCCAGAGAATCAATTCGACGGAGCTGGAAAAACATCAGGCTTGGCACGCAAGTGAAGTCGAGGTGGCGTGCGACGGTGACTTCCAGTGAATTCCCAAACTCGGACACTTTTTGAACTAATGGAATCTGCATCTCGCAGTATCCAAGTGCCACTGAAGTTCCGTGTAGGTTAATAATGCGCGCAGTGATGGAAATAATCCACAAGTTCCTTGCGACAAAGTTATCAATCTATGCTATTCAGCTCCCCGAATATCCTTGCAGTAGACAGATTGTAAAAGAACGAACATACTGCTGCAGATTGTTCCACTTAGTGAAAGCTGTAGTGAATAATGTCGACCGTCATTCACTCAGCCTAATGCCATTGTCAGACATAACCCCTCCCAACGCAATTCAAGCATCGCTGTACCCTGCATAATAAATGGAGTCAAGTTGGTCTACTGCACAGCAGCCTTCGGTCAAGAAAAGCAGATGACGACGTGAAAATAGGCACGAAGCTGTGCTACGGTGGAGAGTTTTGTTCATACTTGTTGCCATCGCACGTCGGACACAGACAAGGCTTAATTACAGCCGGATCGAGCAGAGGCGACCAGCTAATTACAGAACTCCCATTGCACAGTCTGCATTCTGTGAATCCTCGGCCTTTGCATATACTGCAATCAGGAGCTGTTTTTTTCTGCAAAAAGCCGACATTTTTACTGGAAGTAAATAAGTCAAATCATAAGGCTGTCAGATCGGCGAGCATCTTGGCCATCTACTACTGAAATAACCACATTCAGAGTAGGAATTCTAGACTCACTAAGAGCCCCAATTTGAGAGCAGTCATGAAGAGATTAAACATTGGCAGTCCAAGCAGCATTCGATTGCAGCCAAGACAGATCTTCAAGCGAATCGAATTCGTTCGCCTCCAAAGAACATCGCGGCGCTACATGGAGTGGCGAAAATTGCAATGTACATGCGGCTCGAGAAGTGTGGGTCTTCATTCCCCGTTCGGAAGGAAGGAAACTGAAACAAACTACGATGGCAACAGAAATCTGCCATAAGGATGGTGAGAGGTGAATCAAACGTTCGCCACACGCACACAGACTCCGAAAATAAAAGTTTTCATGCCAGCACTGACTCTGTTGGCCTCCACCAAAGATTGGAACGCTCCCAGACAAGCCGAAGAAACGAACGACACAGCGAGAAGCCCACCGCCGACGACAGCTCCCGCTGTGCCCACCAGTCGCAATGCCCCTCTCACGGGCCCAGGTCTGTTCGCCATTCCCAGACACACCGACCGCACCGCGCAAACCTAAACTCTCGTCTTCAGGACCGCAACCTCGCGCACCATTCCCCGGACGACGAGCTCGAGCCGACAAGTAGGCCAAGAGCGAGATTCTGGAGCAGGATGGCGAACGGGGGGCTGCTGGACGGGGAGTTTTGGACCACGGAGATATTTCCTTTCTACGCAGAGGGAGCCGTGCCACGTGAGCAGGCCGACGTGGAGTCTACGAAGCACGATCATTGGTGCTAGCGATTTGATAACGGATACGAAGCAAATTGGCGAAAATGTGGCCATCTCCAGCGACCGGCGACAGTCCGGAGCCAAACGGCACCCCCCGAGAGTCACTGGCAGTTGGCAATCTCTGGGCGGATGAGATACGGCATCCCCCCACCTCCTCCACAGCGCCGACGACGATCTTGGGCACCCGAACCTGCACGAGGCGGAAGGCCGAGCGAATTTGACCGAAAGCTCTCGTCGTCGACGGGCTGGCGGGGCGGAGTGTCATGGAGCATCGGCCTGTGGCGTGCGTTTTCTGGTAGTCCCTGCCCGGGTATGCCATCGCGTGTTCCTCTTCTCGATCGCGTTGCGACCGACGGCGCCAGTCAGCGTGGCCTTTGAGGTGAGAGCTCGCTCTTTCAGAACTTCAGCGCGGGCGAATTCGTCCGGCCTCACTGCCTCAAGTTGGGTTTATGGTTTTTCTCGCAGCTCGCGAGCCTCCCGCTGGTCGTGGCTTTCTTGCTCTCCCTGATGGAGCTGTGATGGCGTGGACGGGTGGTTCGGGTTTCGAAATTGCTCGGTTCTTTGTCTTCTTGAGAAGCCGTGGAGCGCTGAGTTTGCAGTGAATTTGCTTCTTGATTTTGTTTGTACAGGTGGTCGGCTGCATCGATATGGCGTCCATTTGTTGCACGAGCGGATTGTGGAGCCCCGTTGCTGCGGTCCGTGGCGTGTGGATCGAAGGCTGTAGGAATTCAGGGGCTCCCGCAGGTTTAGGAGCCGGTCGCGGGCTCGTTTTGGCGCGCAAGGATTTTGGATCAGTTGGAAAGGAGAGCAATAGATTATGGCATCGGGTGCCATGTGGGTCATCGAATTCACAGGTACAGAACTTGCTCACTTCAGGAAAGTGCCTGGATTTCGCCGTACTCACAATGCTCGGTTCTCTTTGCGTCAGAAAGGTTTTGGGGATCAGTGGCGGAGTTCTTTCACAATAAGTAGCCCGTCTTAGAGTTCCTTCTCATTGAGGGTGGACTGTAGTCTCATATTTTAACTGGGCATCAGAGGCGAGGAACAGGAGATTTCTGAGACGCATTTTCGTCCTTCTGCCGGTCTGCCAGTATTTTATTTTCTGATTGTCCCGTGCCTCCCTTCCGAGTGCTGTATTTAATTTTCTTGGTACTTTTTAGGCTACTCGTCTCCCCAGACAGCTCGCTCTTGGCTCAAATGTGTTCTGCTCGAGGAAAGAACTTGCAAGAGTCATTGGGGCAAACGCGGGCCGTCTTCCGGTATCGAATGGCCTCAGCTCAGAGTTCAGCTCGCTGGAAGTTGGTATCTACCTTTAAATCCTATATCACGCTTATTTTTCATGCTGAAAATGCTGCTTTCATCCTTCCGACCCTGTTCGTGCCACATTTACCGCTAAAATATTCTAGATTATGCAGTCTCGGTCTTATGGCAAATTCAAATGTCTCTTATATTCGACTGTCTGTGCAAGTTGTCTTCCTCCTTTTGTGGGTTGTAATCTTGTGCTTGCTCGGTCAACTTTAGAAGCAACGTAATTTGAAATTATTTCGTCGATTCCGCATGGCTCTCGATTGCTTGTAACTCGATTTCATGTTCGTGGGTTAAAGATTTTTCGACTAACGATTTTAGTTGCTTATGTTTTTACTCTTCTGCAGTGCCAGGGGAGAGGGTTACAGACTCTAGTGTGCCTGCCTTGGCCGTGGCCCTAGTAGCCTCCACGCTCTATCCAGACTCTGCGAACGCGAACACATTAAACCCCGCGTACGCAGATGTTGGAGCTTTACTGGAAGCCGGAGTACAGCTGATCTACCTGGGAGCATTGCTCATTCTGTTGGGGGTTGGTAGTTTCCTAGTGGTCCGTCAAGTGCTGATCAAACGGGAGCTTGAAACTGCCGCCAAAGACCTCCAGGTATACGAGTGTTCCAGCGCAAGGTTGATGAGTTGAGAAAGTGCTTTGCTGCTTGAATTGGATCGGCCTCACCCCATGTCACAGTTTCATACAAGTCACTTATCTTTCTGGTTACTAATCTGAGAGCCTTTTCATGGAGAAGGTACTCATGTCATGTTCTCTCTGAAGAGGCTGAAAGCTTCAAAATCATCTGTTGACAACTGGATGTCAACTTTGTCTTGGTTGAACCAGGATCGAGTGCGGAGCGGGGAAGCTTCCTCATTGGAATACTTTGAACTCGGTGCCGTGATGCTACGAAAGAAATATTACCAACTGGCAAACAAATATCTAGACCAGGCAATAAAGAAGTGGGATGGCTCAGAGCAGGACCTTGCTCAGGTAATTTCCGTTACCAGGAACATTTTCTACCATCTTACCTACGCTTTCGAAGTGGCCTTGATCTGTACCGGCTGAGAGAATGCACGCCGCTGATGGCTACCCTCTCACTTCGTGCAGGTGTACAATGCACTCGGATTCAGCTACTTCAGTGATGGTAAGTTAGAAAAAGCTATTGCGCAGTACGAGAAGGCCGTTCAGCTGCAGCCAGGGTATGTAACTGCTTGGAACAACTTGGCAGATGCATATGAGAATCAAAAAGACTTCGCCAAGGCACTTCAGGCTTATGAACAAGCCTTGCAACTCGACCCTACAAATAAAGTAGCCTCCGCCAGAAGAGAATCTATGAAATCTAAAGTCGATAGATTCCAAGGAATACCTTAGACAAATGATTTCTGGCTAAACAAGTGATAGCTTTGACTACTGGCGTCGTATATATTCATCAGAGTTTTCCACGTGAGGTCTTCCTCTGCGATTAGAGGCAAGTAGTACTTTAGCACAGCGCAACCTAAATGAGATTTCAGCGTCAATCAAGTAAAAAATGTTAGTCATGCTTTAGGTTTAGGTGGCTGAGGCCAGTACGCGACGTTCTGGGTTCCCAATAGTTTCAGTGTAATGGATTTAGTTTTGTGCTCAAGGTAATAAGTTTTGACGGAACTTTTTGCAATGTAAATCTCCCGAGAGAATTCACTGGAAGTGAGGCACGGTAATAGGGAGTCCGGAAACGTGAAGGTTTGTTGTCACCAGCATTTACTAGCCTCCTGAATGGCTCCTGAAAACCGACAACCATCCTGGCTGCCACGCTCAGGATGCAGATGAATCTTACGGAAAAGTGCAGTTGCAGATGGTGCCCTTTATTTCGCTGTCTATTGTAAGGAGTAGACAGCGATTCATTTGCCCTTTGTTTGTAACAACAGTGTTTGCCTCGAAGCATCTATTCTGAAGGCACATATGTATCAGCCAGAAATCACTTAAAGACCAAGCTCTTAAAAAAATTCAAGACACTGAACTTCGAGAAGCTAGCATAAGTTTCAGACTTCCTTCAACAACCCTGAAGTAAAGGGTAATTTCACCAAGCGAGAGACGCTATTAGAGGCGCTGACCAGCAGGTAAACAACAGTTGCACGAACCTCATGTTGCGAATACACCGTGTTAACATGATTGGCAGAAGGTTTCACCATGCTACTGAGAGAAGCATACTTTGCTCAATCAAATCTGTGAGCACATACTTTGCTCAATTAAAGATGGGAGCACAGAGAGAGGATAACGACACAACTTACTGTTCGGAAAATATAGAATGTTTTTACTGTTAGGGACAGAATTCCCGAATGCTTATAATAGTTCTGGAAGACGGTATCAACGCACGTTAAATTTGTGAGAATGTAAATCAGGCTGTCACGTAGCAATGCGATATTAGCAAAACAAAGTCCACTAGTTTAGCATTTACTACTCTCAGTCACCCCTGAGTAGAGAGGTGTGAACTATGAGCTACATGCTGAAGAAAAAAGATGTCGAAAAAGAAGAATGAAGCCTCATGGTCCCACAATTTACACTTTATGTACGATGGATAATTTTCAACCACACAAGTGCTCCTCTTGACTTATTCTCGAGTAAGTAAAATTCGCTTTCGAAATCACTTGAGGATTCACATATTTTTCGTTAGTGTATCAAAAGCTAAGCGTAGTTGGCCCAATGTTCTGTGTCAAAAGGGAACATGTCATGGCAAAATGAACCCTCAGCCTGTCTAGTCTAACCGTTTTTAGCAAGCTCGGAATGCACAATGCAAATGATATAATACATCATGTTTCGAATACATATCACGCACGTATTTAATTGATAGGACTTAATATTCCAGATTAAGAGAAAAATGTGCTAAGAGAACTCAGTATGTTTGTTATCGCCAGGAAGAGAAGAAGAATCGACTTCGTGTCCATGAGTATTATGGGTACTTTTTATTGGAAAAGGAGCTGTTTCTCCTTCTGCTTCTGCATCGGGACTCAGATTCAGCTCTTTGTGTTTTCAAAGAACTGACACAGATTGATGCTTCAACAACCTCAGCTTGAGCTTATATACCACTTACTCCATCGAATATGTCAAAATTCTCACATCGTGGACAGTCCAGAGGAATATTGCGCCTGACACTGTGGTTAGAGTTTGTCAGCGTATACTACAAAGACCTCGCGAATTATTTCAGATTTTGGGATAACTTCTACCCCTGCATTGCACGGCGGTTGAGGCTACGACGTGTGTTCAAGCCAAGATCCAGGAATCTGTGCAACCTAGAGACCTGGAATACCTCGGAACCTCGTCGTCTCTTGACGCTCAAATGTGAGTTCCTGCACGGTGATGGAAGTTGCTGACCTTTTTTCACGACGCACAGATTTACAGCCACCGAGGAAAGTCCGCTTGTCAGTGAAGATCGATCAGCTAGAACAGGCACTCTAGCTGATTTCTGATGTGTAAGCAGTAAAGTAATATGCCTTGCGAGCTTGTCAGAAGACTAGGGGATCAAGATCGATTTGAAGTCGACCACACTTCACGTGTGCAGGAGACCATGGAATTTTCGGACCCGGTTGCTTGGCTTACTATCTTCTCTCTCAGTGCTTAAGGTTGGAAGGACTCAGAGTCTATACATAGTGACTCAAATCCTGCTAAAATCTTCGGACCATCGTGAAAAATCATCAGATTTCTTGTGCGAGTCCGTGAAGCCTGCCGGATGTTTTGAGCTAAACAATACTGAGAGAGCTAGTTGGACTAGAAACGAGGCTTCAGATTTTTTTTAATAATTTAAAAACTTCAATGACAAGGACAGCTTGAGGGAGATCTGTCCCTGAACTAGACAGTAGTTGAGGTTTGGTTGAAGGTTGAAGCTCTAAACTATTGTGACAGTACTGACACTAGACAGTAGTTCAAGGTCGAAGCTCTAAACTGTTGTGACAGTTCTGACACTAGATAGTAGTTGAGGTGGAAGCTCTAAATTATTGTGACAGTTCTGACACTCGGGTCAAAGCTATCACTATCACTAAGTGTCACTCACGTTGTGACATTTCTGACTTGCTGTCGAAACTAAACTGTATCTCGTTTTCTTCTGATCTAACTCAACATCAGAGAGTAGATTACATCCGACTGAAGTTGCCCGGATCAATAAATCATGAACGGTCCAGGACAAGAATGTAAATTACCCATCTGTCGGTTGAGAACGTAAGTAGACTACTGATGCTGATATAATACAGCCCAGCGAAATCAATTTCGCAACAGTTTGAAAGCAGGTGGTGTTCAGCCTGAAAAGACGGATTTCTCAGGAACGCATTGGTTCTATCCTTCTTCACTCACTGATTGTTGCCGCGTGCGAATTAAGTCAATTGGATCCGAGCTTAACGAGCATGACACGTTTAGTTGGTTGCTGATCCGTGGCCACAATCGCGCTGAGCATCTTGGTCCACGGGCATTCCTCAATTTCGCTTGCTCTGAATCTAGACATTATTCTTGTGATTTCTTTGACACAATTCAGATAAACAACCCAGGGGTGTTTGTTCCTTGAGAAAAATGAAGAAAGTTCGTTTAACACATGAGTAATTCGACGTGAAATGACAATTCTCAGTGATAAGGATTACAACTTCTAATCCATTTTCAAAATAATTTTTCTTCTAATATCTATTACTCATCATTTCTTCTGGCTGGTAATTGTCATGATTGTAGAACACCAACGAAAATGAACTCTTCCAGCGGAAGTTTTATTGAAAGTGGGAATCCAGAGGTGGAAATTATTGATTAGAGAAGACACGTAGTTGAATGTTGTTGAGAATTTTCGGAAGAAATGTGATACAAATTTCTACGTTACAACTCAAACAATGCTCCAAGTATTTCACATCAACAGAGTATGTTAAATTTATCTGGTCACTAAAATTAGACATTTTGACCGAAGCGCGTGTATTCTTACCTCATATTATCATGGGGTTAAAAAGAGTCCATGACATGTTTAATGCCATGGCAATACAATTTGTTGTTAATAATAAATCATGACATATTATCACCCAGGTCTATCTTAAGATAGACCTGAAAAAATCATAATCATCTAGATGAACTAACTGTTAGTAAAATTAACTGAATTCTCCTCACGATAACACAATGATAAAGCCTCATGACAAATTTTAACTCATGTTTTCTACATCATGATGGGGTCAGATTTCAAATTACGTCATCCTCATTTGCAAACAGGTTGAAAATATGAATGTAAACGTATACAAGTTCTTTAAAAACACGTATCAAAGAATCTCCAATGTTGTTAAGACTGTCAAATCTTCAAAAATATTTTAATCCATAGCTTCGTTGTAGTTTCTTAAAGACTCCTGGATGGAAAATTTATCTAGATGCTTGCATAAAATTAACGTTAAAGATTTCATGATATCATTCAACAACATTCGATATAGACCCTAACACCATCCATCACAAATCATTAGAGAAACTTGCATGTTTTTCTATGTTCAGCTTAAGATAATCATGAAATTTCAAAACAAATTTCCACCATTTTGAATTTGGTTAAAAAAAACCCAAAGTAATGATTGCGTAAATATTGTAGGCTCAGCATATAAATAACATTGACAATAGAAGATAAAAGATGGATCACTTGATAAAGATGAATTTCTACAAGCTCAATTTCAGATCATGAGCCATCAATCAAACAAGTTTGAAGATCATGTAAGATCGGATTCTAATGAGAAAAGGGTAGTGGACGTATTTACAATACTGTCCACGTCCACTGACAACTTGAGATACTTGAAGTATCTCAAGTTGAAGTTTGAGATACTTCAAATTCGAGACATGTTGAAGTATCTCATGTTGAAGATTCTTCAACATGGATGTCAGAAGCTATCTTTCTACCACGAGGACGGGAAATTGTGGAAACTACATCCAAATCATTCTGACCCTTTGGTATAGCAAACAGGAACGGAAGACCCAATAAATGGATGAAACCAATGGAGGAAGATGGAGCTAAGACTTGACTCGCACCTACACAAGTGGTTTCAGTAACAATATTCATACTGAACCTCGTAGCTGCGTGCAAGAAGAGGGTAATTGTTTCGATGTAACTTCCATAATTCCCGTCCTCGTGGTAGAAAGATAGCTTCTGAAATACATGTTGAAGTATCTCAGAGACATGTTATAATAAACGCATGTTGGACAAATAATCTGAAATGTTGAAGTATCTCAGAGACATGTTATAATAAACGCATGTCGGACAAATAGTCTGAAATGTTGTCGTATCTCAGAGACACCGTCCGGGCACACGTCCATGAAGCCCAATTGACGAAGATAAAACCTCGGTCTGTGCAACAGAATGCAGCTCAAGCCATCGACGTGCATCTCTGCGGCTGCAGTCCTGCACCTGGAATCAGACTCACGTAGGAAGCAAATTATTGCAGATGGCAGAGGATACCACCATGCCAGGTCTAGGACCTAATGTTGGGATTTTGAAAACTGTGGTCGTCAGCAAAGTTGCACCGAGCTCCACCACGGAGCATGCCGAAGTCATTTATCCGAGTGTCTACGACTTGTTCGTTTTCGATACTTACATACCCATCGTTAGCCTGTACCGATTGGACAATACTCTTTTGTCGGCTTTCTCGGCCTTCATCCACAACGTGAAGGACTCTCTGAGCAAGCTTCAGAGCTTGTATTATCCGCTGGCGGGGAAGTGGGTTGTAGCAGAAGATTTGTACATCCGGAAACTGCTCTGCAACGATGAAGGAGCAGTGTTCGTGGAGGCGACGGTTGACGACGAGATGGATAAATATTTTGACTTCGTCCACGACTTCAACCCTCCCAATGAGCTGTTCGGAGAATTTGCTATTCCCGGATTCTGTGCTGAAGATGCGCACAAGATGCCGCTGAATAAAGAGTGGCCCAATTTGATTATTCAGGTCAGTGGAACATAAACTGACATTACCAGCGAGCTAATTGCTGCTCAATTGAACGGATTCTGCTCGCATCCTTGTAGACACCTCAATTGTTCGATATCTGCCCGAAGTTGCGGATGTGAAGTCATGGCATGACTTACGTAAAACTGAACGTTTGGATGTGCAGGTGACCGGCTTCAAGTGTGGGGGAGTTGCCCTCGTCGTAACCTATAACCACATGCTCATGGATGGGTTTGCCTTCGATCGGTGTTTGAAGGCTTGGTCAGAAATTGCAGCCACCGGGCACACGTCCATGAAGCCCAATTTCGATCGATCCTCGTTGCCCACATTATTCGATAAAGCGCAAATGTTCGGATTGAGTCCGGACATGAAGAACGTGGACGATGTGCTGGCAAACGCGTTCAGGACTCATACTACTGCGCGGAGCTTCCGCAGTAGTCCATATCGGTCCGTAAGTAAGTGCTACCAGATCCATCCGGACGCCGTCGAGAGGCTGCGCCGGAAGGCGAAGGAAGGCCAGGCCTCAGAGAGCCTGGAGCTGCCGGAACGATTCACGAATTTTGAATGCATCTCGACTCAGATGTGGCGATGCTTCTCGAGGCTACCGGTCGTCCATGAACACATGACCGGCAGCGAGAAGGTATATTTCAGCTTTCCAGCCGAAGCAAGGAAGCGAACGTGCAAACCACCGTTAACGGAAGACTTTGTCGGTAACATGGTTCTGATAGTGTCGCCCCCGGTCCTGACGGGCGCTGAGCTTCGCGAGAAGTCGTTTGCCTTCGCAGCATGCAAAGTCCACGAGTCTATTCTCGATCTGAACGCCGACTCGGCCGAGGACCGCTGGACAGACACCACTCATGCACGCTTGCAGAAGAAACAGTCTGAGAACCCCGAGGGCTGCCCGACTGCTCTGCAAAGTGGACTGACCTCATGGATCCGATTTACAAACTTCTACGCTCTGGACTTCGGATTTGGCATCCCATTGCGCGTCACCCCATGCTTTTTCTACACGATTCCGGAATTTACGATGGGTTATCTTATGACTCCTCGTCCCCAGTCCGGAGTTGTTGCTGATATGTTCTTGCGTTTAAGCCCAAGGATGTCTGAGTTGATTCTTAAAGATCCGGAATTCCTGGATCTAGTCTCATAAGCCGATCTGTGACGCGAAGTAAATTTCCCGAGCGACTTTCGAGTCTCATGGGAATGTATACGACCGGTAAGTATCTTATGTGATGCCGGTATAGTTCCACGCATGTAATTCCATAGCTGTAGAGCAGTTGGTTTCCATGATTTCATAAATGTCTTCAAATTGTTGAACTTATGACAATGATCCGATCAAATCCGAACCGATCTAGTTTTACTATTTTGTTTTATAGTAGGGATCGATGAATTTTCATAAGTAAAAATTGCAAATACATTGTTCATAAAAGAATTTTCTAAATTATGCTTGAATTGGTTGCCAAAATTTATAATACAAACATGTTTACATTATTCTGCAAATATATGTAATATAATGTAAAAAATTGTAATCTTCTAATAACATCACATATCATATAGTTGATAATGAATGATATTTCATAATCATCATATATTGTAAAACATCTGAACACTTTGAATATTACATTTCATGTTAACAATTTTTGATGAGTAATTTCTTTTACCCAAACCAATGTGATATAAGAAAATTGTGATTTATATATTTGTCTTAGAAGACATTTTTGAAATTATGAAGTATTCGATTAGCTAAACTTGAAACATTTTGCACACAATATCACATGAGAATACGTATTATTACATCAGAATCAAGGATGTAATATATCATCATTATAAAATTAATTATTCATCAATATCATATTTGACTATTCAAATAATAATGAAATTTAAAATTAAAAGATAATTTGAGAAGTGTAATAATTTTTCTTGGAAAAATTTCTAATTTTTCTATTGAATCTTAGAATCAACTTGAAAAATGAATAATATTTTTTAGAAAAATAAAATTTTCAACCATTTAAATTTACGGTATATTTCTTTACAAATTTCAATCAATTGTCATTTATGTGTCGCACCTTAGAATATCAAACACAAATCATGTAAAATAAAAAAATAAAAAAATGTATTCCTCATACATGATATTACATTCAAGTGTATAAATTTTGATGCTTGAACATTTTCATAATAGCAATGTCAATTCAAGCATCCACTGTCAAAATCTTCAATCAAGATTGATTAATCAAATATTTTGGAGAATATATTTTTTTATGTATTTCAAAATATAAATTTGACCTTAATTAATGTATCTTAAATTTTTATCAAAAATTTGATTCATTAATATAATTTTGACAAGATGACTCAAATTTTTTTTAAATGTAACTTTAATCGGTTGATATTCATAAAATATACAAATATAATAGTAAAATAACATTTAGCATCATCAAACTTCACACATCATCAATGAACTTGGATAGATGCACAAGATACATCTATGACTTCATTATCTATCACCAAAAAATTCTTTTTTTAAATTATGTAATTAAGACTCATTAGATTAATTTAGTGTTTACAAAATGACATGCATTCAGCACAAACTTTGATGCAAAATATATATAAAAAAATGTGTTTATCACTAGAAGCTACATCAACAAAAACACAAGTTTTTTATTACAAAAGTATATACTTGTACCACAACACAAGTTTTTTATTAAAAAAGTCTATACTTGTATCATCTAGATTTTCAATGAGCATTTTTATATGATTACAGACTAATTAAATTAACTAATCAAGTTTAAGTTCGGCCTCTCCTCTATCGGATCTTCATGCCGAACGCTTCAGCACTTCTTTCATAGAAGTGTTCTTTTCAATCAAATCAAATTGAGACTCTTATTAATTCCAAAAAAAATTGAACAAATGTTTTGGATATACTTACATGCATATTTTCTATAATTTTTTTGCAAAAATTTTAGAAATATGACATATACATTAATTAAAATTTTCATTTAAAAGTTTTAATTTGAAAATATTGTAGAAGAAACAATTTTATACATATGCATAAGGATAAAAATCTGCTAATAAATTTACTTCTGCTCTTTATACAAAATCTACAAAATATAACCGTGTATGCTCAAACTCTCCAAGAAAATAACTTTAATCAAAGCATGAGATGGATTAGGTAAATCATCAATCTTGACTAACATATATTTCTTTTGAAAAATGCATCTCTTAGAATATGATATTTGATGTCAATACAATTTATTTTGCTATTCTTCATTTGATTTGCAAGAAGATTGCATGCATTCTAATCATCATGATAAAGATTATATAAACTTCTACTTTAATTTGATCTTTATGATAAAATTATTTATCTTAATAGCTTTATTTGTTGACTCTATTACAACATAGTAGGCTTATGTAGTTGACTTGGATATGCATTGAGCACAGTAGTTTTTTTTATCCATCTAAACAAATATAAAATTTCACATTTCTTCTTCTCCAAATTCAATTAGTAATCAACATCAATCAAAACTAATAAGTATCTATCATCATTCAAAAAACTGTAATATTCTACACTTTGGAGCTAGTTGAGAATTCACTTTACAGTATCATAGTACATCTTCAATGATTTTGACATAACTAGCTCATATTGCTTCTTTGTATAGCATAATTAGATCTAATGCATATCAATCAACATGAGTTTATCCACTGATTTATCATAAAATAGTATATTGATGACATTTTTACTTTGTCAAAAACATCAATTAAAGATTGTGTGAAAAGAGTTTAAAATGTGCTAACAAAGAAAACTTCTTTGGATTGCAACAATTGAAATTTGTCTAACTTGCGTTTATTATAATTGAATAATTTTAAGGCTAATTATTGTTCAAATCCTCATAAATACACATTTTTGACAATATGTTGGATTTAGTAAAATTTTTCATCTTGAATGCAAACTCCATCAAATAATTTGTTAATAGTAAATTTTTTGCATGTATTCACATCAAATTAACTCTTGTCAAAATGAACATGTCAAATACAATACTAGAACAAATTATATTAAAATTTTCATAGTTCACAATTTTCATATATATATATATATATATATATATATATATACATACATACATATATACACGCTTCATGAACATTTTAATGCTATCATGAATCCATTAAATATTTTATTTCATTATCTATGATTTTTCTTTAATTCATATAATGATTTCAATAATATATTAATTAACTAATCTTGAAATTATTTCTCAAAGACAACTGATTGTCTCATATGTAGATGTATCGTTTCAAAGATAGATAACAAATATACAATGATCACTTTCAATCATATAGACAATGTAAATTTTGAAGCTTCTTCTTTCTCAAAAATCTACGGATTACTTTTTTTTGTATGCATAGGATTTTGTAGTAGACTAAGAAAAATTCACTAAATTAAATATATAACTCATTGATGAAGAAAAAAGTAGATCACAATTTACAAATAAAAATAATGAAAACACAACTTTGTCACTTTTTCATCAAACACATGGTTATCTTCTCACTTCTCACTTAGTGACCAAGTTGTTCAACACATTTCCCACGAATTGAATCAAGAAACTCTACGCTCTATTAGTATATCACATCAACTTGCCAACATCAAGAATCTACTATAGATCTCAGATACACAGTCTAATGATAAATCTTTTAACAATATTACTAACTTCAATGTGCTTTTTTAGGTCGAATGATGAGCCCTATAACAATACTGCTAACTTCAATGTGCTCTTCTAGGAAAATTAAAAAAATCTGCTTAAAAGCATATGAGGTTGTCATATTTCAACTCTTTACTTAATCCAATAATTCATCCAAGTACAACGTGAATACGTTGTACTTGGTGCAACCATCCATAGCAATGAAGCATCTTTAAGGTGATTACTTATAAATTTTTAATTTTCAAGAAGTTTAGACAAACTTTGAATCATCATCTTCATCATGAAAACTTAGCAAACATATAGTACTTGATGCAAAGAGAATCTATATCTGTACTTTATAATGTATAAGCCCGCGTATTATCTACGGAAAGCATGATCAAACACAATGATTTCTTCCTATGTTAAAATGAAAGTATCATAAGAAATTCTTCTTTCTAGGCTTAGAACTTTCATAATTTGCAGATTTTGGATACAATTGCTTGAAGCATATGTGGCTTCCTCATGCTTGAGATGCCATTACGTTCATCACTTCCAAGATATGAAGTTGCAAATTGCTTGAAGAGGTGAAACAATTTTTTTCACATTCAATACCGTCCTCATTGAGACTGAATTGATTCAGTGAATCCACTTCTATTTCATAGACAATATGTTTCAATACTTTTAGGTACTCCTTGTCTTTTTAACACAAAGTAGAGTTCTTTCAAAGTTGTCAAGAATTTCACTTCTACACCACACACTCTTTTCTCTTATTGTTCACATTTATTATTCTTTGTCTTAGCAATTTACTCAACAATCTTTATTTTGTGATCAAGATATGTTATTGCTGCAATTTTTGTGCATGACTTGACATTAATGTCTCCGGCAACGTTCACAATAGTTGCGGCTATAAACTTTGCATCTTTTGTCAATAGAGGCGTCATCTCCAGGTACAGTTGCAAGTGCGTGTGTTATTGCCAGCTTGACAAGATTAGTTGTTGCGTCTCCAACATCTTTGATCACATCTTTTAACGCAAATGCAATCCTTGCTTTTGCCTCCGTTGCCCTTGCAACTATTTATTTTATCCTTTTCACATCCATTTATCAATCATAACACACAATCTTGAATCATAAATCTCTTTTCTTGTCTTTCTGCGATGGTGTAACCTCCTTTGAACCTACCTATTTCTGCCATTTTTCTAGGCTTTGAAATATATTTAAGATTGATGTTATCTCTATCCATCAACGACATTTGATTGAGGAGTTTTTTACCTTAAACATCAGAAGTTGTTGGTGGTCAACACCTCCATCATCACTCATTTCCTTCCCTGTGCCGTTTTGTTGATGACAAATGTCAATCCTCTGCTTCAAAGGTTCTAACCTACCAATTTTTTCAATAAAGAAGTTTGTCCAAATCACTCTACGTTTATTATTTCTCTTCACTTTAAATTTTCTTTTTCTTTTTCTTTACGTCTTCTCT